AATAATAATAAAATGGTTACCTTCTGCATATGTAATCTTCCTAATAGTTCCAGGCCCTCCATTTCCTTCAAGAATCTCAAAATTCTTAAAGACCTGTGGAAGAGTTTTAGGAAGAACAGAGTGGCCATCGGTAACGATCGCCTTAAACAACTTGGCTGCAGGGATTGGAGTAGCAAGCTTGTGTTCAAGGACTGAAACAGTCATGTTTGGTGTTTGGAAACGAAAAGCTTTAAGAAAGAATTTTTTTTGTGTAGTGAGATGTTGAAACTCAAGGCTGAAGCTGCTATTTAATAGGCTCAGCTGTTGGACTGTACTACAGGTTTTTATATGTTAAAATAATATTTTATTATGTACAAATATCTAAATACAAATATCTAGATAAAAAATTGGGTAACATGTATATTTTTTGTATTTTAAATATATTATTTCAAAAAAAAAAGATTCATATAGCCAAGAATATGACATCTGCAATCAGAAGATAAGAAAGGCAAGGACCAAAAATTTGCGCTTTTTTTTTTTGAAGGGAAAAATTTTGCTCATTTGGTCTGTTGCCAATATATCTATTACTCTTTTAATTTTGTTTTTCTTTTTTTTCAATTAAAATTTATTATGATGAGTAGCTGCCTTATTTTTTTTATAAATGTCATTTGTTATAAGCGAATTCATAATGTGACTTTTATAATGATTAGTCTTTTTTATGACATGGCTTGCACGTTAACTATATTCGTTATATATTTATATTCTTTTAATTTATTATATATATTATATTTATATTTCTTGTAATTTATTAAGTATAATATATATATATAATATATATAATAATATAATAATAATAATAATAATAATAATAAAGCATAACAAATATAATTGCTTAATTTATTTGGTTTTTGTCGTACTTGCTACTTATAATTTTACTTTTTATGTACTTAAAACTATGTACAAGCTACTTGTTGTACATACTTATACAAGCTACTTGTATATTTATTCTATTCTCCCCAAAGAAACGTTTTAGGATATATTTTAATTAGTTTGATTCATAGGCGGGGTGATGTAGAAGGGTAAATAATTCATTCTCAAGATTTACCTAATGTTGATAGTATTAGACTCTATAGAGACTACAAGTCCATCCATAAAGCAAACCAATCAACATGGACCTTTTTGAAAAAATTGTTACAATTTTAATTTTTTTTTCCTGCTCAATTGGTGTCCTTCTAAATGGAAAGGATAACAAATACATATTTTATGGTGAAATTACCAAAACACTATTCTTGGAACAATTTAGTATATTATAAAAATTTTAGAAAAAAAAAAACCTAAATTTGCATCATTAAGTAATTGGAAATATACAGTCCAATCTAGGGGTAAAAAATATATATATTTAATCCAGAGTCATTTTATCTATAACAATGATTAATGAAGCAATTTTTAGTATATATGCAATAGAATAATTGTAATCTAAAAAAATTGAAATTCTATAATTGCAGTCTACTAACTGAATTTCTTGTTGTCACGGCTGCCGTCATATGCGGTTGCAAAAAAAAATTAAAACCTCGCCAAATTTAACAGATCCACGGTCAAGGTTGACAGTGCTTTCGCAAGTGTGCGAAATCGCTACAAGTAATACATGATGAGTAGAATATCGATCCCACGAGAATTGTATACTAAGTACCAAAATTATATTAATCTATTATTTTTTAAATGACAATTGAGGAATTTGTTTCTAGAATTTAAACTCAACAAGTAAAAATAAGAAAAAGTCAAGCAAGCAATTATTGATTAAAATAAATCAAGGAATTAAGACTACTAGGGATTTTGATTCTACTTAATTTTATCCAATTTACTTTATTAGTTAATTAATCAATTTTAATTGTTCAAATATGAGAAACAACTCTAGAATCACTAACAAGCTATCTCGATGTATTGTTAGCTATTTTAATTCCATTTAACTACCTATCTTCCAATAGCACAATTAAACATGAATTAAATCATTTAGTTTTGTAGTTTGTTTATGAATTCATAAATTAAAGTTGTTAATTCATTAAAACCCCCCATAAGTCAAACCATATAGCTTCCGCATCAAGTTGTTATTCTCATGTGATTCATTAACTTTTTCATATCAAAAATTCTTCTTCCGATAGTGATTAATGAAATAAATCAATTCAGGGGAGGAACTCTGCCTGGAAGCATTAATTTTATCAATAAATCATAACTTGAACAAGGAAGACATAATACTTAAATAAAACTCAATAATACTTGATAAATATTTCATACTCAATAAAAATAATGAAAGAAATAAACAAGATTAAGAATTTAGAAATAAGAACTAGTTAACAATTAGCTTTGAATGACTTCATTGAATCTTTGCACAACTCTTGAATACTTAAACTCTTGAACAAATAAAACTATATACAAGGCTAAAAGGATGAGATGGGATGATATGGGATATGAGATGGAATGCCTCTTACAATGAACTCTTCTTCCCTTTATATATACTCCTTGGGAGAGAAATCCACATAGTTTAGGGAATAAAGTCCACCTTTGTTAGGAGATAAAGTTCTCAATCAAGCCTTAAATTTCTCTCAATCATGACTTCCCGTATGCATAGATTAAAGCTTGATTTGCATTTTGAAGAAAGTATCCAAGGTGAGCTCATGAAAATGGTGGGAATTGGTTAGCAATTTTGACTTAGTTCAGCTTTTGAAGTTTAGCACGGGCGTGCTAGATCTTGGCTTTATGGAAGGATCAGCACGGGCCGTGCCCAAGGGCACGCTTGAGTGAGCTCATGTGGCACGGGCATGCTCAATGGCACGGGTAGGACGTGCTAGGCTCTAGAAGTCCACGGTGTTTGTAGCACGGGCGTGTTGTCTAGCACGGCTAGGGCGTGCTAGAGTCTGACTCTTCATTTGCTTTTTCTTATTCCTAGCACGGGCGTGCTGATGTGCACGGCCTAGGTGTGCTAAAGGCTGACTATTCTTGCTTTATTTTGTCCTTTTCTCTGCCAAAACCCTGCAAATTTTCTTAAGATCAAGCGAGTTGTGTTTCAAGAAAACTTTTGAATAAAGACATAACAAAATTAAACAAAAATTAATTTAAATAAATTAAAAATGCTAAAAATCTTAATAAAAATTTCATAAAAATTACTATAAAAATAACACTATCAAAGGTGCTTCAAATTTACCGGGAAAGATCAATTTAAAGTCAATTTTTGTGAATTACAACTAATTATAATAAATCTATAAAATTCTCATTTTATAAACTCAACTTCAAGTCACATAATCTTTTTACTCAAATCCTAAAATTGAAGCAAGATCAGATATGACCCCAAAATAACTTGTATCCTAGCTTGAGTACCATGATGAACTCCTTTCAAATCCTTTTTTTCGTTTGAACTACCTTCAAATCCAAATCAACTGTTGTTCTGAATAAAAAAGTAATCAAAAAACAAAATACATTGTAAAAGAATGTCGTCCGCTAGTGTTTCCCTCAGTCCAGCTCAAAATGTCTTTTACTGGTGTCTTGTTTTCGCCGAACAGCGGCAGGAGCACAGGCGAGGGAGAGAGGCAGTAACCTCTTCGTGCGATGCAAAGAGAGGAGAGGAGAAGAATGTTTGATTTTCTCTCTCCTCACTTATCTATTTATAGTCCAATTCCGCCTGGCTTGGCTTTGATTCAACTTGATTCTCTAGTTTACTTGACCTAGCTATGTCGTTTTATCAAGGGTATTTTGTCTTTTATTTTTTATGTCTCACTTTTGATTTTGCTTTATTTACATGACTAACAGTAATACGGGCATTTTTTGTACAGATAAACTATTTTGTTTGATGGAGTGAAAATCCAGAAATAGTAAATTAATTCTCCAAAATAGAAGAAGAAAGTAGTTAATTAGGTTAAACGTCAGTACCTCAAAATATTTTCCCTGAACAAACCACCAAAATGACATTAATTCATCTAAATAGTCTTAAAAATATATCAAATTGAATAAACGAAAGCCATAAATCTTACAAGTAGCTAGCTAGCAAGGTTTACTAATATTATTACAATACATAATCACATAATATTTTAATATTATGTATCATAATCATGAATGCGTCATCATTATCTTCAGAAAAATAATTGTTACAAAATTTAATTAATTGATAATGGTATCTTTTCAATTGACTTAATGGATAGAAACCAATTTCTTATATTTGCCGACAAATTACAAACTAACTATGAACTGATGTGATCTTCAAAAAGAGGATGTATATGAAACTAATATACCACGCTGAAAAATCATGGATAAAGGAAAAACAAAATAATATATGAAATGTTCAGCTTCTAGTGATATATTTCATTAGGTTTTTTCACTTAAATCACTTAATTTCTATTATCTAAGGTTTAGCTTTCGGTTATCTTAAATTTTTTCTAGACTATATTAATAAAATTAAATTTTATTTGCTGATAACAAGTGAAAGGAAAGTTGAATTTTGGAGTAAGACAAGCTTAGTTAGCTACATAAATATATTAATTATTTGTGGTGGTTATGGGAAATTTTCATGACGAAGATATACAATAATATATATTAACAGGGAGATTAGGATAGATTTGTATTGTTATGTGTTTGACTTTCCTTTATTAATTAACACAGAAAAATGGTAATCATATGAAAGATGGAGAATAAGCATTGACGAGGTAATTAGTACAGATGCCATTCAACAAGGACAAATTTGATGAAAGAATACACTTTCTAACCAACTATAAATTAAATGATCTGAGGTCGTAAATTTTGATAAAACAAGTCGTTTATTGTCTACATATAACAAGTATTTTACAACAACGTACAGTATGGTGCAATTCAAGCACCCATTTAAAACGACATCCAAGCTTTTATTATCAGACCAAAACTAGATAATCTATATTTGGTCTGAACAGGAAATTAAAAAAAAAAAGAAAAAAAAGAAACAGAAAAAGCATAAGATATAACCATAGCCCACATGCTTCAACTTTGGAAATTACATGGAATTAGTAGGCATTAGGATTTGCCAACAGGTACTGTTCAACAGCCTGAACCATTCCTGCGATCTTTTGTTTGTCAGAGTCAACGCGTCCCTGAAGGAGCGCAGCATTATTACCCTTTGGATAGGTTTTGCAACTAACATGGACAACAGATCCTCCATCACCTGAACCCTCTATTTCTATTCCAACTGTGACTTTCTCTATTCCATCAATCCATGGTTCTCCTTCGTATATACTGTATTCATATACAAAGTTCTGTGGGTCATATTTGTCTACTTTATGTTTGTACGACTTCAATTCGTTACCTGCATGCATTAAAACAAAGAACTCTGGTTAATTACAACTCAAGAACTAAAAAATAAACACCTAATTCCTTAATAAAATGATTACCTTCGTGGAGTGTAGTCTTCTTAATAGTTCCAATCCCTCCATTTCCTTGAACAGTCTCAACGCTCTTAACGACCCCTGGAAGGATTTTAGGAACAAGATTGTCGGCATCGGTAACGAGACCCTTAAACGCCTTGGCTGCAGGGATTGGAGAAGCAATCTTGCGTTCAAAGACAGTAACAGCCATCTTAATGTTTGGTGTTTGGAAACTAAAAGATCGAAGAAAGAAATTTGCTGTGTGTAATGAGATGTCGAAGCCCAATGCTGAAGCTGCTATTTATAGCCTGAGCTACGGGACTCTGCTACTCGTGTAGATGTGTTAGAATAATATTATTTTACAAATATCTAGATACTATATGCGTATACGATCACTTACTAAAAAAATAATATATTTACCAAACAAAGAGAGATAATCCTAAAATATTACAGATATTAAAACTGTTTAATTAGGAGTGCAAATGAGCCGAGCTCGGCTTGAAAAGAATTCAAAAAAGCTCGAACTCGAGCCTATTCATTTAGTAAACGAGCTCAAGTTTAATAATATTCAGTTCGAAAACTTATCAAGTCTTATCGAATTTATATATATATATATTATATTTTTTTTCAATGATGGTTACTTCAATTCGCTACCCGTGCATCAACACAAAATTATAGGCTGAAGCTACTATTTATAGGCTCAGCTCCGTGATAGTTATTTGAGAAAGGAAAAATTACAGTATGATCGCTGTGGTTTACAAAATACAACTCACTACAAGAAATTCAGTAATTATCGATAGAAAATTTCGTCGGTAAAATATAAAAATCCGTTGGTAATTGGGTTTACAGACGAAATACTGATGGAAAATATTCCGTCAGTAAAACCCTTGTCGGTAAAATATTACCGATCAAAAATTTATTCCATCGGTAGTTTAGTAGTAGGATATATGTATAATTCGGTTGGTAATTGATTTGTAAAATATATGGTCAGTATTCCATCGGTAAATGATCGCCAAGCCGTTGGTATTTTAAAAAGATTTTAAGAAATAAAAGTTTTTAAATTATATAATTTTGGAATTTTTTTCATTGTTTCATAAATAATAATCAAATCAATTAAATTAATTACAGTCTTTATAATTACACAATTAAATTTGATTAATAATTAAGGTAGTTTAAAAAATTAATTATAAACACAAAAATAAAGGAAGAAGAAAAAGATGAAGAAAAAAAAGAAAACAAGTAGAGAAGAGGAGAAGAAAAAAGAAGATGAAAGAGACGAAAAATAAAAATAGAGAAGGAAAAAAAAATGAAGATGAAGGGAAAAGAAAAAGAAAGTGAAGGAGGAGAAGAAAGAGAGAAAAATATAACTAGAAAAAGAAGAAGAGGAACAAAAGTATAAAAATAAGAACAACAAGGAGAAGGGAAAAAAAAAAAAAGCAAAAGGAGTAGAAGAAGAATAAAAAGGAAAAAAAAAAGAAAAGTGAACAAGAAGAAGAAGAAGAAGAAGAAGAAGAAGGAAAGAAAGAAAGAAAGAAAGACGAAGAAAAAGAAGAAGGAAAAAAAGAAGAAATAGAAATAAAATGATAGGAAAAGATGAAGCAGGGAGAAAAGGATATCAATTTATATTGTAGATTCGGCAATTAACAATGAAAATTTTGTTGCTAAATTGAAAATTTTTGTTGCTAATTTATTTATTTTGCCGCCAATTTATGGTGCAAAAAAAATCAAAATTTGTCAACGGAATTTTCGTCACTAAATTCTAAAATTCATCAATAAATTTGGCAATTTACCACCCATTTATACTACCTAAATTTTTAACTTTTTTTTCGAATTTTATCGATAATTGATTAGTAATCTTGGTAAATAGCTATGGATTAGCAACGGAATGTGTTTTGTCGCTAATTTGTGGGTAATTGGTTGGTGATCCATCGGTAAATCATTAAAGATAGGCGCGAATATTTGGCTATTTTTTTACCTATGAAATTGAAAATCTATCAGTAATTCCGCCATTAATTGGTCGCTAATCTATCGGTATAAATAAAATATTAGCACAAATATTTGGCGCTTTTAATTATCAATAGAATTTAAATCTGTCGGTAATTCATCACTAATTACCCACGAAATATGTTCCGTCGGTAATTGCCGAATTTCTTGTAGTGACTAGTTCTTCCTTGTCTTTTGTAAAATATATTAATTTATCCTTGTATTTTGCTTATGTTACACTATTAGGTCTTTTCGTCAAAATTTTACGTCTTTTCCATTAAGTCAACAAGAAACAACAGATATCAAAGTAGATATCTAAAATATTATACTAGAAAAATGATAATATTGTCCCTGTGATTTGAAAAATACAACTACTCTATCCCTATATTTTTTTTTTTTAAAAAAAAAAGGGATATTGTCGCCATTTCATAAGATACTTAATATAAAAGATGCAAAAATTGGACGAAATAAGTTTATAGTCTAATGAAGTGAATTATAAGGATATTTTAGTCTATTTCTTAAAAATAGGGACAGACTACTTGTATTTCACAAATCACTGGGATCGTAATGCAATCTTCCGTTTGAGAATTATTTGGATAGTAAATGTGTGTTCACTAGTAGAAAACTAAAGTAGTTTTTTAAAAAAGGTTTCCAAGAAAATTGTAAAACAAAATTTTGTGTTCAAATTAGTTAGTTTTCTTGAAAAACTAGAAAAAACTAGAAAAAAGTTTTTCAAAATTTAACTAATATTTAGAAAACAGTCTTAAGTTGTTATTCAAAGTTTTCCTTTATGACAAAAGACATATTTTCCAACTTTTTTTTTTTAATTCTCACTTTATTGTTAATAATAGCTAAGGTATTAATTTTAACTTTTGATTTTATTTTTTATTTTGGACTACTATCACAAAAAAATTTTGAATTTCATTACCATAATTTATATATGTATTTATTTTTATTTATGGCGAGATCTTGGATCAAATGATTATTTATTTTCAACTTTGTAATTATTTCATTTGTCAAAAACTCTATCATAAAAAAATATTAAAATTTTTCATCAAATAATTATAACTATGTGTGACAATGGTTTACACATATTTTTATACATATAATATTTATAACTAAAATATTAAATTTTTATATTGTCTTTATAAAAATTAATAAAAAATATATAAATTAATAAATTATAAATAATTATTTTAACGGATACGGTAAATAAGTAACAACAGAAAAATTAAAAATTAAAACTGTAAATAATTAAAACTGTAACAATGTACACTAAAAAAAAATAAAACTGTAACAACAGAAAAAAATGATAAAATAATAATAATTTTTAAAAATATTTCATAGATTGACCTACCGGATTTAGACAACCATGAATCGTCTATTTTTTAGAAATATCCAGATGCTAAATGTATGACGTGTGCGGTTGAGAAATTAAGTGATTAAGTGGGTGACTTATATTTTAATTTTAATTTTATCTCTTTTCAAAAAAAAAAATTATTTTATCAAAAGTGTCGATATGCGACTCGTGGATTTCTAGAATGTGACATCTCCAATCCGAAGACAAGAAAGGAAAGGACCAAAGATTTTTTCGCTTGTCTTTTCTCTGTTCTGTTTCTTTACCGGGTGAAGGTGCCCACATTGTCTGTTGCCGACTTCGCAATTCCTCAGTCTTGTTGCAACCTGTTTGGACCGACTCGTCGGATCGATTAAACTGAAAAGCAACAGACTGTTGGATTCGATTTTTAAAAAATCGAGTTTTTTCAAAAAAAAAAAACCAGGTTGAATTTTTGATAAAAACTGGAAAAAAAACCCATTTTAAAAAAAAAAAAAAAAAGTGTTTGATAATTTAATAGGCATTTAGCATGGTTTGTTTGTTTAAGGAACTAAATTTAGTTTTTCGACTTGAATTGAACCATGTGATTTGAAATTAAATTTAAATTTAAATTTATGAATGTTAAATTATTGTTTCATTTTAAGTTAGAGTATTTATATATATTCTTTGTTATATAGGATGAATATTTGATGAGAATGATATATTATATATGTTAACTATTGTGAAAATAAATTTTGTTGCCCTTAAAATAAGTGTGAGTGTGAGTATATAAATGGTGACGGAGTCAGGATCTTTTCATAGGAGTGAAAATATATTTATCATTCTATACGATAAATAAAAAATAAATTTGGTTTAAAAGAGAATCTTAAAATAGTGTAATTACATGAGCAAATATATTACAAGTGGTCAAAATGAAAATAGTATAAATAACAACAAATCAATAGAGATTTTTTAGTATACATAATGACTATAGGAAAGAAATAATCTTCTAAAATTTACATATTAAAAATTACAATTAAAATAATTATTAGTATTTAAAATTTTAAATATATTATTGTAAGTTTAAAAGTCAATCAATTCAATTTCATATTATTTTCCAAAAACTATCAAAATTGAATCATTAATTATAATATCTCTTTGAATAAACTAAATATCACATGTGTTTATTCAATAAATTTAAAATTTTAAAGTTTTTTAAGTTGTTAAATTTTAATTAAATAACTAATGATAAACAATTGAAATATAAATTTATAATACTATTGTACATTTAAAATTTATGTGAATTTTATTTATTCATAGATAGAAATCAATATCAAAACTAAAATTTAAAAAAAGAATATAAAATTAAAATTAACTATATAAGTCATTCAATGGTGCGAAAAAATAATTTATAAAGATGTGAGATCTTTTATATATATTTTTCTTTTCCCCATATATATATATATATTATATAATATACTTATATAAATAAACTAAATCTATTGCAAAAAACTAACTAATATTGTTATTTACTTAATATATATAATAACTAAATCTATGCAAAAACTAACTAATATTGTTTTACTAGCTAAAATTATATAATAAAACTAAACTAAAAAACAAAAAATTGCATACAGTAAAATCATGTAATAAAAGTTCCGCTTGTTTCTATAAAATAGCTAGCATAAAAATATTTTTTGCAATTTTGGAGTGTTCAAGAAAATAAGTCAACAGAAAATATTTTTCTAGTCAAAGAAAAATTAAGTCATTTTTTAAGGAAAATAAATTTTCATTTTTAAGAGAGTAAAATATTTTCCGGATATTGATAAATCTTATAAATTCATATTTTTTTAATTTATTAACCATTGTAGTTATTACCACCGGTCACTATTTACTACTGCCACCACCATCGGCTACCACCACCGGCCACCGGTGGCTTTTATAATTTACATTTTGTTTTTTGCCTTCTTTTCATATTTAATAATAAAATTTTTAGATTATAAAATTTCTATTATTATTAATATTTTTTATGGTCTTATGACAAAGACTTAATACTTTTAACCAATTTTCAATATCAGAACCAAATAACGAAAAATAAATCATTTGAAAAATATTTTTCAACAAATTATTTTTCTACAAATTATTTTACGAAAATAAACAGAGCATAAATTAAAAAATGAAAAATTCGATGCAGTGAGATTAAACCCGGTCTGGTAACTTGAGTAATAAGGACCCCAAGCCCTCTGACTCCGTCAGTATATATATATATATCAAGAAATTAAAAAAATAGAAAATTTGATGCACACATTCGACCTTGATCCAGTCACGGTGCTGTTTCGATTGGTGGTTGGATTCTAACAACATCTATTCCTGTTTTATTTTTTTTGTTTTTTTCAATTAAAATTCATTATGATAAGTACCTATTTTATTTTTTTATATGAAAAAAACTACACCCAGATCCTTAACTTATATTCTAACTAATACTTTTATCCCTCTATTTTAAAAAATTACTATATATGATGTCCCTCACTTTTGCTCAAACTCACTGTCAGATCATTTCATCCAAAAAAAACTAATACTTTCGGTTCAAAAAGGAAATATATTCTATTCAAAAAGTGTGTTTAACTAACAGTAAATTGTTTACTTTTTAGATGAAATGACTTGATAGTTAATTTAAGTAAATGTTAAGGATTTTATAGTAATTTTATGAAAATTAAAGGACGAAAGTATTAATTAAAATATAAGTTAGGGATCTAGGTATAATTTTTTCCTCTTTTATTTATAAATTTCATTTATTATAATAAATAAATTCAGATTTCAGACTTTTATATGATGTGTGAGTGTTTCATTCACAGATAGTCATAAAAAAATCGGTTAATCCTTGGAGATTATACATCGGCTATGAAAAGTGTTTGTGAGTTAAGTTTTTTTTTTTTTTTTTATTTTTTTTTTGAATCCATAAAAGGCGTAATAAACCGAAATAATGCTGTGAATTAACTTGCTCCATTCAAGTCTTAATGGACACATAAGGCATCCGATGATTCTCCTAGTCTCAATCGACTCCATCTATTAAATGGGGAACCGAATATTCTTACGACTGCTTAGCAGGCTTTGGACCATGGAAAAAGAAAATCATTTTGTGAAGAAAATACATGGAAAAAGGAATCTTAATTATATCCACTGATGAGAAAAGAATAAGAATCAATGAAAGCAGAAAAAGGGTGATAGATATTTATTCTGGTGGTGTTTCTTAATCAATTAAAAAGATAGAGACGAATCCATTTTTTCATATTCAAATTTATCTCAATTACAAAGAAATGCTCTACTTAAATGTCTAGAGTATACTCTTTGATGCTTTATGTTTTCTGCCACTTTTTGTTGATGTTCTGTTCATTTAAAACATTTTGAATCTAAGTCATAAATTGGTTACCATGCAAAGTGTTACTGTTATGTTAATAAGGAATCTAAAAAATTAAAAATTACTTACTTATATCGGATCTATAGCCACGCTTTTGAATCAAATTAATCACAATAAAAATTCTTTAAAAGGTATTTCGACTTTATAAGACAATAAAATTAAACTACGGTGAGAAAAAAGAGTGGCGTGCACATATATATTAATTGTTAAAAAATAAATTTAACAATATAAAATTTATTTGCACTATATAAAAAATTGGTGTGGAGCATTACGTGCCGTTAAATTAAGAATTTTAAGGAAAAAGAGTAGCTAATTTTAATTAGTACAAAAATATTCTTTTGATTTTGATTTAGATTAAAATTATAGTCCACTATATAAGGCTTAGTAAAAAAGGTTGTCCACAATTTGACATGAATTTTGCTTCACATGATAAATAATTGGGATGAAACTTTTTTTTTGGTTTATTCAATTCCTTTGTGAAATTAAATACTACCTCAATTTCATAATATTTGTCACATTTGAAAAAAATAATTTGTTTTAAAATATTTATTAAATTTGTAGTTCCAAAAAGTAATAAATCTTTTTTTTTTATGTTTATCCTTCCAATAATTATTACTTTAATTTAACAGTTTTCATAAAGAATTAGAATTAAATTAAGGGTAATATAGTTACTTTATTCAATAATTTATTATAACTTAGCAAACTTAATAGTTTTTTTAAGAGATGTGAAATTCCAAATTTGATAAATATTATGGAACAGAGATAATAATAAAATTTTGCTTGTGAAAAATGAATGCACAATTAATAAATAATTTACTATCTAGTGCTCTTACAAATAATCTCCATATTAGAATAATTTTGTTTATCTCTCTATTATAATAACATTTTTCTTTAAAAACTTCCCTTCTAAAAAAGAATTGTTCACACCCATAGGGCGTAATGGTTTATGTAATTAGAAACTAAAGATTATTGGAAAATTTTAACAAATGAATCTCTCAGCCAATTTATTAATTAAAATCATTATATATGAGCAAGGTGTAATTAGAAAGTTCTCAATAATTTAGTATTCAACATTTGTAACTGAAATGCAAATATTTGGATTTTTATTATTTTTATTCTACATATAATACTTTTAAAGATATATATATTGTGTTATCAATTTTATACATATAATTAATATTTTTACGAGTTATGGAATAAAAGAAATGTATCATATTTGCCTCAACTCGATTTATCAGTGGACTCAAATTAATGAAAATAAGTAATTTTTTAAATATTATTTTTCATTTTATTTTTTACCAATAAATACGCACAAATGCCCCTGTTTTAATAGCAAAAATTTTTTTAATAGTTTGATTTATAGATAGATCCATATACCGAGTCTAGATAAATCAATCCAAAAAGAAATACTCTATATGTTCCAAAATATAAATTGTTTAAAATTTTTACATAAAGAGTAAAAAATTAATTAATTCTCATAAATTATAACAAAATTAAGAGTAGTTTGATCAAATTATCTATTATTTCAAAAATATAAATATAATTATTACATTTAATATAAATAAAGTTAACATTAAAAAAATGTCATTTATTTTTAAAATATATTTTAAATTATTTATATTTTGAGATAAAACAATGATTCTTAAATCACTTATATTTTGGCCGGGTCCCGTGTCACGCTTCACTTGCTTGAATTCAATGAAGTAACGTCCTCTTTGGACCTCTTTCTCACACATGGTGCGATGGTCTCTTTCTCCTTTAAACTGCGATTACAAGAGCCAATTTCTTGTTAGGGCCTTTAAGTTATGCTACGAATTTCAGCCCATGGACCGTTCATCAACCCCCTTTTCTCTTTTCTTAGCCGAACCCCCTTGGCTAAACTAATAGCTACCCATACATTCCACCCCTAAATAGGTAAATATGTGAAGCTGCTCTCATTTCCGGAATTTTTTTTTTTTCAAAATATAAAAAAGAGACTTGTCTACACCCGTTTATGAGCTCACCTTCATCGAGCTAATTAAAAAAAAGAAAATTTTTAAAACTTATTTGCACTTTATTTTTTCTTCCTCATAAATAGTCAAAAAATACATTCATCAAAAAATACATTTATTTTAATAATAATATTTTTTTATTGATTTGATTAATAAATGTGCGATAACCGCGTTGGTTGGTGGTTAGTGGAAAGCTATTCAAAGTTCTAAATAACTGCTTAAGAATAAAGGATAGACTTATCTAAGCGTGGACTATAGCACATTTTAGGGGTCAATATTTGGTTCAATTAATTTGGTTCGATGAATAAATATTCAATTAAATAAAATTAAATTTTTGGTTGTCGGTTAAAGGTTCGGTTAGAAGTTAATTTAACCAAATTAATCAATTTAATCGATTCAAAACTACCTCATTTTACTTAAGTAGATAATAAAATTAAAAATTAAAAATATTTCAATTTCTATTTTGATTAAGTAGTGATTAATAATTTCAGTTAATTTTCATTTTGTTTAAAGTCGGGTAATCATAAACGTCATTAAATTGGATCGGTTAATTAAGTTTTCATTTTCTTTAACTTCAGTTTGGTTAATGGTCAAAATTAATTCGCCAAAATAATTTGATTAAATTCAGTTAAAAAATTATTTCGGTTAAGTGAAAAGAAATTTAGATTAATTTATTTGATTAAAAATATTACACAAATTAATCAAATTGGCCGGATCTTCACCCTTAGCACATTTATTAATCAAATCAATAAAAAATATATATTAATTGTTTGCTCTCAAATGTGAGTTTAAGTGGCTCCAATTGGATCGCACGGTTGTTAATTAATGGTAGCTACAAATTAATTAAAGTTGGTGGGAAATATTGTTTGCTCTGAAATCTGACTTTAAGTGGCTCCAATTTATTGCCAACATCTATCATCCACTTCTTTTCCTTTTAACCTATACTTTCCATTAACATTAATTACTTCATACACTTTCCATTTGCTTGTCCAACGTTTTTCCTTCAGCTGTATAAAGTTCTTCTATACCATCTCCATCTCCTTCTTCTTCTTCCATGTTAGGTCATGTGTGTAAGTGTACCAGTTATTAATTTTATTTTTATTTTTTGGTAATGTAAGTCTCTTCAATTTCTTTCCCTTAATATATACATATAGATGGAGATGCTTGGTAGTGCATTTTGGACAAGAATAAAGAGGAGAAGGAGCAGAAGACAATATCAGAGGCTGAAGCATAATACAAAAAAATGGAAGATTAGAGTGCAAAAGCTGAAATTAAGACCAAAAATCAGTTCCTCCATGAAGATTTTGAGAAGATTTAGAGATGGTTATGTTCAAATGATGATTAAATTAGCTGAACATTTACCTCAGTTGAACAATGGTAATAATGTCAGCTTCTCTTTTAAGAGAATTATTCAAAAATCATCTCCTTTCTCATATTCAGAAATGTCTAGTTTCTAACTATGTAATTTTTTTTTTTTTTTTTTTCTAAAAATGCATCATCTTATCAACGACCATGTATTTTGTTATCTTGTATAACTGGTTGTGATTGTGAAGGCCACATGGGCTTTGCAGGGGAGGAAATGGGCATGGGATATTCTGAATATGATAATATATGTTTAGACATCGATATGTACCTGCTCTGCTGGAGCTGGTGCTTTCTCCAAATTGTAGCCATATTGTGGACCTGCTGGAAATAAATTATCCTCCTGGCTATATTCGAAATGGGAAATGGAGACAATTTAGAAAAAATAAGCTAGGTATGGGAATCGGCTCCCTACTGAGGATGGATAATGACCCAATTGATCATATCTCCTTCTTGTTTGATTTATTTGTACTATGAGGTGCGGTTAAAATCGTTGTAGATAATTTCATCCATTGGTTCAAGCACACTAGATCTCATTTTGTCGATTGTAAAGTTGAAACAATGAGTCAGCATCTCGAGAATACCTTTTAACATAATCGCTCTCCATAAAAAAAAAGATTAGTTTCTCGTTTAACTGTTAAACGAAAGGTAGGAGGACATCATTGGTAGCAACAAAAAATAATAATAGTAATAATAACTTATCAACATTTATTGTTATTAGTTTTTTTTATAACGTGCGTTGCAAAATTGACAATGCTTATTATATTTTCATATTTTATACTCTTTTAATTTTTTATCTATATAATATTAAAGTATAAATTTTTGTTTAGATTAAAATAAATACAATTGGTTAACTTGTATTAGTTGTATTAGACTTTGTCATATAAGCTATTTGCAGTGTTATTTCTTATGCACTTGATGCTATTTTTATATAATGAAGTGGTCTCAAAATAAAGTTCAATCCAATCTCTATACCTAATTTTTTAGTATCTACTAATTTATAAATATAGATTCTTAAAACCCTGATAGGTGCTCAAAAAAAAAAAAATCAAGTTATCACTCAATCCCGAACCATTGCCCCCAATCCCAAATCAAAATCTATATATAGCTATAATAAAAAATAATCATAAAATTTTTTTTAACTGATAAGTAAAAAGAAAGAAATGAAAAGATGATCTGAACTAATAATGGTAATCATTTTTATTATAGTGATAATATTACTTACCTAATGCATTAGAGAAAGGAATATATGAACATACACACAAATTCTTAAAATCCAAAAAATGTCTCAAAATATAAATATATAGTTCTATTTTTTTTTTAAATTTCATAAATACTATTTCCTTTCAAATCAAACATATTTAGGATATAAAAGAAAAAATATCAAGAAAATTAAAAATGCTTAATTAGGAGGCCATTTATTTATTGCAAAGAAGATATAAATCTCTTACTAAATTAAAGTGACAGTGGGTATACATTAATTCAATACAAATACGAAAATAAAAAATAGCAAATTTTTATTAAGAATAAAACTCTTCTAGGAACTCAACATATAATAAGTATTAAAAAAATTACCAATTTGAATTTTAAAAATAACCTTGGAAATGCTATAATTTAATTAAATTTAATTTTGATGGAGAAAAAAAATAAAGTCAATAAATGAAAATTACAAAGCAAATCATATTAGGATCCAATATTGATCAGTTAATAAGATTATTTAAATATTTTATTTCTCTAAGTTGTAAATTTAAAATAAATAAATAAGTTAATTAAGCAATAAAAAAAATATTATATAAAAGAAACGTTATATCATCTCCAAATAAACTCAAAATTTTTCCTACAACCATATAAAAAAAGATTCTATTTTTTTCTTTTTTATTATATATATTTATTTATTTAAAAAATAATTTTTAGAATTTATATCCAATCAAATAATAAAATGTATTTTTTTTCATCTTAACTAAATGTATCCTGAGTCCACTGGTGCGGCCCAAAAAGGGATAAAGTGCTCCCAACGAGTATTTACTCTATCCATGAAAATTAAACCTTAGACCTCACTTAAGAAAGAAGAGTGTCGAACCATTCATTTAAAAGACTCATGGGTATAAAATGTAATTTTTAAATTGACTATAACTAAGAATATTTTAGAATATTCTAAATTTCATCGAGAGTGATATCAAAAATCTCATTATTCTTTTTTATATCTCCACGTGTATAAACAGCGTATAAATATAGATACGTAGACAGTAAAATAAAGTTTTTTTTTTTTTATCAAGTTCAGCAGCGTAGGTTTCTTGCCAAGTGGGGTATCACACTCCATTCATCATTGGTTGGGTAGCAACCATCACCGTAGTAGTGCAGATTTTATCTGATCCATTTAATAAATGACTGGGGGCGGATATTAAAAATGTGTATTTGGGTCGGTAATGGATAGTACATAACTCATCCTGAATAATCCAATTATATATAAATAAAAAATTTAACATAATCTAATAATGTAGTAGTTTAAATATCATCAAAGTTAAAACATTGTAGCAAATCAAATCAATCATCAGTCTAAATTATCTTTTATATTTCTTTTAATTTTTATACTTTTCTATTTATTTGATTCTTCATTCAATGTCTACATTTCTTATTTTGCTATTTCGTTTACTATTGATATTCTCCTTATGCTTATTATGCATATTTAATTATAGAATTTTGTTTTCATTTTATTGATTTCCACTATATATTTTTTTTATTAAAATCAATATATAATATCGAATAACATATATTATAAATACAGATACAAATATGTTAATGTAAATTAAATGGATGCAATAATAAAAACTTGAAAAATAAAATTTAGATTTTTTAAATGGATTTATCCGATCTAATCCATTACCCACCCTACCCGATCCATAACGGGCGGATAGGAGGGTGGATAATATACATTGCTTCATAGGGCGGGAAAGCCGAAAAGGGTAATAAAAAACTGGATTCATACCCAATCCATCGCTTCCTTATCTGAGTCCTAGATATTATAATTATTAATAGATATGGACCCAGGCTGATTTGAGTTATACTGGAATTGGGCCTGAATGGATCCCAGAGCGCACTTTGATGTGTGATGGTTTGGACTTGGTTTGTGTCATACACCTATATATAATAAGATTAAGTTTACTGCGAGCTTCAAAAGCCTTAATGATGTCAAACTCCATTTAAAACCAAATAACAAGAATACTATCAAGATCAGAGCCCCTCTGTATTTTAATTTATTAATATTACAAAGAAATTTATTTTATCAACAAGCAGTAGCGGACCCAACAAAATAATTAGGGGGCAAGATATATTTTTATTTAATTATAAAGAGCAAAGTTAAGATATATTTTTTTTAAAAAAATTTTGCATTGAAAATTTTTAATCCGGGAGAGCCACAGCTCCCCTTAAAACTCTTTGTGTCTATCTTGTCAATAAGGTATTAGTTAAAATGATACAGGACCTTAATTTCATAAAGATCAGAATACAAGTTCAAACTCTAAAATTGCATTGGATAAAAAGCGAAGTCCAAAAATTTGTATGCTTCTTTAAAAAAAAAAATTATTCCCCCCTTCCTCTTACAACACTACCTTTATACTAAGCATATTCCTATAGTTTAATGCCTCTGTAAGATTATTATTTATCATATTCAACATTTTTTTAATTTCTTCATATTTACTAAACTTCATTTGTTTTAATTGGCATGAAATAGGGTAACGTTATTTTGTAATTTTGTTAAAATTGAATCAATTCAATATATTTACAAATTCTACAGTTTGTGTACGATAAGTTTCTCATTAATGGTTGAGGTGTCACACAGCTGATCTATAAAAATTCAATTAGAAAAAAAAAATAAGACAAGAAGGCTTAAAAATTAATTTTACATTTGCCATTTTTTTGTAATTATTATTCCAAGAAGGGATAAGGTTGAGCGTAAAAAGAAAAGAGAAAATGACAAAAAAAGGAAAATAAAAAGTCACACTATCTTTTTTTTTTTTTTTTTATTCAATTAGAAAAAAAAAATAGACAAGTAAGGCTTAAAATATATTAATTTTGAACATTTGCCATTTTTTTTAATTACTTACTTCAAGAGATAGTTGAGCCCGTAAAGAAAAGAGAAAATTGACAAAAAACAAGAAAATAAAAAAGTCATCTTTTTTTTTTTTTTTTTGCACATCAATCTGACAGACAAAACATATAATAATATTGAAGATTTTTTTTTTTTTTTTTACTTTCTATTTTTTAAATGTGACAATTAGAGTAATTTATGTTAGCATTGGGATGCTATCAGAGAATCATTCAATTATAACGGCCGAGTTGTTTTATAGGGTTGCTATTGAAGTTACATGTTAAGATGTCATTTTATTTTATTTTATTCTTTTTACAAAAAGACAAATGGATAGCAAAAACTAGCCATTACACGTCAGATTAGGAATATCAAGACCAATGTTTAACAGTAGCTGAATTGGACAACAGTTGTATTAAAAATGTTAAAATTAAGGATTTTTTATCATTTGTCCAAAAATAATCAACTAAGTTTGTGAAATATAAATGAATTGTCGTGCAAAATCATAAAAAAAAAATGTCATAAAATTCTGAATTATTCTAAAATAAAAATAAAAGATCTAGTGTCAAAGCTAAGCTGGAGCTCACCAAATAAAAATATATTCAAGCTGAAAAATTCAAGCTCGGCTCGACAACTGTAGTTCGATCTTAAAATTTATCAAACTAAAATGACATTATCTTAACACAAATATAATTGATTATGGCTGATTGAGATAGCTTATGAGCTTGACTTAATAATCATAAACAAACCAAGGCAAGGTTGAGCTCAAGCTTAAAATATTTCAAATAAAAATAACATCGTTTTAATATAAAATCACTTAATTTTCACTTGTTGAGTTAGCTTGTAAACTCGAGTCAATAAGGTTGACTCACGAGTTAATGAGCTGGATTTAAATTCGACTCGTTTATTAAATTAAATGAGCTTATCTCAATAAATTTATCAGATGAGTTCAAGCAAATTTTTATTAAACCGAGCTTTCATTAGCGGTCTTTGTCCCAGCGTGATTTAAACGCTTGTTTTTATCAGATGGTATGGATTCCTGTTACTGTTAAGAACCATATCTGATCTCCCAATCCAAAAAGAGGAAATGCACAAATTTCTAAATATCCCAAAAATGGCTCTCAGAGGATCTCGTTTTTAAAATTCTTTTTTTCCTTTTAGAAGTGAAAATGAACAATAATATAATAATATTAATGGTAAAATTTGTATCTTTAAAATGTTTATATTTTATTGCTTGACATCATGGCTTACATACTCTCCCAACTAAGGATAAGAATGATTTAATTTAGATATGAGTAATGAGAAAGACGGGCATTCAATTGAAGTGAAGTGCAAATATATGGGACCAATTGGAAATTAGATTTTTTCTTCGAAAGAAGACCAATGACAATGAGAAGAGGGAGAGATGAATATGGGGTGAAGACACGTGTTGCTAGGTAT